ATTGTACATACAGCAAAGTTCAATCGGTACGAACCTTGCCACATGTACACTATGGTGTACAATTTAGTTTACACTTTGCCACATAACATTACTCTGTTAGACAGTATAAATTTCAAACAATTTTCCCATCCAATTGCCACTTGACAACAATGCAAATGTCAAACAACGTGTCAAAAATCAGTGTACAAATAGCAAAGTTCAATCGGTAAGAACCTTGCTACATGTACATTGTGGTGTACACTTTAGTTTACGCTTTGCCACGTGACATTACCTAGTTGGACAGTTTAAATTTCAAACAATTTTTCCATCCTTCACAATTAACAACAAAGCAACTATTAAACAACGTGTCAAAAATTAGTGTACAAATAGGAAAGTTGAATCGGTAAGAACCTCGCTACATGTACACAATGGTGTGCACTTTAGTTTACACTTTGCCACGTGACATTACTCTGCTCGACACTTTAAATTTCAAACATTTTTCCCATCCAATGGACACTTGACTACAAAGCTAACGTCAAACAACGTGTCCAAAATCAGTGTACGAACAGCAAAGTTAAATCGGTAAAGACCTTGCTACATGTACACTATGGTGTACACTTCAGTTTACACTTTACCATGTGACATTACCCTGTTAGACCATTTAAATTTCATATAGTTTTTCCATCCAATTGACACTTGAGAACAATGCAAGTGTTAAACAACTTGTCAAAAATCAGTGTACAAATAGAAAAGTTGAATCGGTAAGAATCTTGCTGCATGTACACTATGGTGTACACTTTAATTTACACTTTGTCACATGACATTACCCTATTGGATAGTTTAATTTTCAAACAGTTTTTCCATCCAATTGGCACTGGACTACAAAGCAAGTTTCAGACAACATGTCCAAAATCAGTGTACAAATAGCAAAGTTCAATCGATAATAATCTTGCTACATGTACACTATGGTGTACAATTTAGTTTGCACTTCGCCCCGTGTCATTACCTTGTTGAACATTTAAGGTTTCAAACCGTTTTCCATCCAATTATCACTTGACAACAATGCAAGTGTCAAACAACGTGACAAAAATTAGTGTACAAATTGCAAAATTTGATCGGTAAGAACCTTGCTATATGTACACTATGGTGTACACTTTAGTATACACTTTGCCACATGACATTACCCTGTTGGACAGTTTAATTTTCAAACAGTTTTCCCATCCAATTGACACTTGACTACAAAGCAAAAGTCAAACAACGTGTCCAAAATAAGTGTGCTAATAGCACAGTTCAATCGGTTAGAACCTTGCTATACGTATACTATGGTGTATACTTTACTTTACACTTTGCCACGTGACATTACCATGTTGGACAGTTTAAATTTCAAACAGTTTTCCCATCCAATTGACATTTAGTAATAATGGAAGTGTCAAACAGCGTGTCAAAAATCAGTGTACATATAGTAAAGTTCAATCGGTACGAACCTTGCCACATGTACACTATGGTGTACAATTTAGTTTACACTTTGCCACATGACATTACCCTATTTGACAGTATAACAAATATTTTTCCATCCAATTGACACTTGACGACAACGCAAGTGTCAAACAACACGTCAAAAATTAGTGTACAAATAGCAAAGCTCAATCGGCAAGAACCTTGCTACATGTACACTATGGTATACACTTTAGTTTATGCTTTGCCACGTGACATTACCCTGTTGGACAGTTTATATTTCAAACGGTTTTTCCATCCAATTGACACTTAACAACAATACATGTATTAAACACAGTGTCAAAAATTGGTGTACAAATAGCAAAGTTCAATTGGTAAGGACCTTGCTACATGTACACTATGGTGTACACTTCAGTTTACACTTTGTCATGTAACATTATCCTGTTGGACAGTTTAAATTTCAAATAGTTTTCCCATCCAATTGACATTTGAAAACAATGCAAGTGTCAAACAATGTGTCAAAAGTCAGTGTACAAATAGAAAAGTTGAATCGGTAAGAATCTTGCTACATGTACACTATGGTGTATACCTTAATTTACACTTTGCCACATGATATTACCCTGTTGGACAGTTTAATTTTCAAACAATTTTCCCATCCAATTGGCACTTGACTACAAAGCAAGTTTTCGACAATGTGTCCAAAATCAGTGTATAACTAGCAAAGTTCGATCGGTAATAATCTTGCTACATGTACACTATGGTGTACACTTTAGTTTGAATTTTACCCCGTGTCATTACCCTGTTGGACATTTAAGGTTTCTGTTGTTGATATTCTCCCGCAAGTGGACGGATCGTAACAAGTAGTAAAGTGGACCTTTTGAGTCCGAATTATCGTTCCCACGAGGACTATATTTTAGTACTTAATATATTATTCCTAACTTCTATTTAATGAAAATAATTAAATAAATAGAAATTGAATGTGATTTTTTAAATCTAAATACTAGAAATTTCGTGAATGCAATAGAAAATTAGTGAGAATTCAATTAATAAATGAGAATTAGGGCAGAACAATTTCACCTATTGGTCTCCTTTATTTCCAAAATCGAGATTCATAAACTAAAGTAGTGTTCGGTCGAATTCTTCTATTGTATTCAACTTACCCCTCTTGAGTTCTCGTTGAGCCTATTTAATTAGTTCAATTTCATATCTCTATGCAAACTAAATTTAATTAAATAAAATAATAGTTCTAAGAATTCCTATAGGACCACAGCAATTAATATAGGTATCTTTACACGTTATATTAATTTACCAAATTTTAATATGTAGTCTAAACAAGAATCCGTATCTCTGCGTAATTATTGTTCACAAATCATCTAATTAGTGATCAAGTACTTAAATGTATTAAGAACAACATTAAAATTAACACATAAAATATAAAAGCACTAGAATCTTAATTAAACGAAATAAATGGTTCCAAATAAGTTACGTTGTTCGCCCTAAAAATAAATTTAGCTACTCATATTAATAAGAGAGAAGAAAAATAAATTCATGGAAGATATCATCGGGTTTTGACGGAACATGATTAGACTTTTGGCACATGAATCTCCATTTTCTATCATCTTTTGTATCTATGTTCGTGTGGTAATTAATTCCAGCAGTTTGCACTTAATTTTTCCTCCCAAGTCACAGCAATTGTTCTTGGTTTTCTGTGCGTATAATTGTCTACAATTGGCCCCCAAAGCTTTCAATTTCTCCAGCATGTGAAAATTAGCCGCCACTTTTCTTCCACAATTGAATTCCAATTCTCTTGCTCTGGTTTTTGTGCGTCTATAAAAAATTTGGTTGCCCAATTTTCAAACTCTCCTTTGTCCACTGCAGAAAATTTTCTCTCCCCAGAAAACTCTCCTCTCTCCCCCTAGTTGGTAAGTATATGTATGTATATATATATATATATATATATATATATATATATATAACCTAGGGGCACCTTTATTGACTAAATAAAAGACTCCCCCCAATTCTCCAATCCGTCTGCAGGCCCTTTTTTTTTCCATTATTGGTATGTATATATATATATATATTATATATATAAAAAACTAGAGCCACCAAATTTGACTAACAAAAGGACTCTAATTTTTTTCCAACAAACTCCCTAATGCGAATTCATATATCTTCCCCTTTACAGCCACCATAATTGACTCTAATTTAAACCTTTTAATGTAATATTACCCATCAAGTCCTCAATCTTTTAAGTTAATGCAATGTAGTCCTTGTACTTGATTTTTGCCACTTTTCGCTGATTTTTGCCTCTTTCCTTCAATTTCTTTTTGTTCATAAAATATACCTATCAAACGTAAAATACAAGAATTTAGGATATAATTTGTCGAAAAAACCCTTAAATATCATTATTTTAAGTATGAAATGAGTGTATAAAATACACTTATCAAATATCCCCAAACTTAAACATTTGTTTGTCCTTTAACAAAACTATAACCTAAATAACAACCGATACACAAGCATGCAAAAATATTTGGTTGGACAATTTAGCTTTTAAATACAAGAATTGAGAACAAAGTATTAAATCTACAAATCGCTTCAAAGTCACAATACTAAATCAATATCCACTCTTCCAATGCAAAATCGATGTGTGTGTGTGAAGAATTAAGTAGACATTAATGAGTCCACAAGTTATTCCAATTCCCAACCCTTAGTGGTCAAATATGTCCTTTCATCTCTGTAAGATTCACACACCCCCAAACTTATTCTTTTCACTCTGTAAGGACAAATAATTTAATAAGGTTTGGATAAGACATCTAAGTCCAACTAAATCAACCTATCAAACATGAAACAACTTATTTCATCACAATGTCAAACTCAATTCTAGTACGCTTGTAGTATCAAATTTTGCAAGGTTGAGCTTCAATTAGTCTAGTATGTATCCTATCCACAATTCATAAATCAACACCAAAACTCAAATAAAATCATCATTATCTGCCGGACTGTCTAACCCACACAAGCACACAACTAAAAAAAAATTTTCTTTAACAAACACACAAAAACATAAAAACAAAAACTAAAAGTTTTTTCACGCCCAAACTTTAAAACTGACATGGTCCTCAATGTCATAAAACATAAATAAGCATATAAAGGGGGTAGGAAAGAAAAAGAAGAAGGTACTCCCCAAATTTTTCTATTGAATGTGTGAGGCAATATGTGAGACGACTGGATAATATTCTTCATCATGCTTTCCCTTGAATCTATGTTGGTTTAAGTGTTCCACAATGTCATGTTCCTGAAAAATCAAATTTGGCAAATTAAATATAAGGAACAAGGGTTACTTGGCTCAAACAATCAAAATAACCAACAATAAATTCAAGTGCCTGAGGGCGAAAGGGATATGGCTGATGACTCCTAAAAATTGAAACGTGCCTAAATCTAATGCAATCTAGTAAACAAAACAAAACAATATGCTATGCGATACGAAAAACAAAATAAAATATATTGAAAACTGGGTTGCCTCCCAATAAGCGCTTCTTTTAAGTCATTAGTTGGACTTTGTGCTGCTCTTATTCTGGTACAGCTAGTTCAAGGCTCTCTTTAGCGATGGGAAAATCTTCCACATAGTGCTTGATACGTTGGCCATTTACTTTGAAGTTTCCTTTTGTTGGATGGTGTAATTCAATTGTGCCGTAGGGAAACACTTGAGAGACCGTAAAAGGGCTGGACCATTTAGATTTCAACATTCCTGGAAACAGTTTTGGTCTGGAATTGTATAAAAGCACTTGATCTCCTACTCTAAAAATTCTTTGCCTGATATTTTTGTTATGCCACTGCTTCTTCCTTTCCTTGTAGATTGCTGCATTCTCATATGCTTCTCTTCTGAATTCTTCCAATTCATGTAGCTGCAGTATTCTTATTTCTCCAGCCTTTTCGAGGTCCATGTTTAACTGCTTCAATGCCCAATATGCTCTATGTTCAAACTCCACTGGTAGGTGGCATGCTTTTCCAAATACTAGTCGATATGGGGACATTCCAATAGGTGTTTTGTAAGCAGTGCGATATGCCTATAAAGCGCCATCTAATTTCTTTGACCAATCCTTGCGAGATGCATTCACAGTGAGCTCCAAAATTCTTTTCAATTGTCTATTCGAGGTCTCCCCCTGTCCACTTGTTTGAGGGTGGTAAGGAGTGGTAATTCGATGTTGTACCCCGTACTTATGCAGTACTGCCTGGAAGAACTGATTTCGAAAGTGAGTTCCACCATCACTTATTATGGCCCTAGGTGATCCATAGCGGTTAAAGATGTGTTTCTTTATAAAGTCCACCACCACCCTTGCGTCATTTGTAGACAATGCTTTAGCTTCTACCCATTTAGAGACATAATCCACGGCTACTAGGATGTACCGATTGTTATAAGATGATGAAAAAGGACCCAGAAAATCAACTCCCCAAACATCAAATATTTCCACTTCCAAAATTTTGTTTAGTGGCATCTCGTGATGCGCTGATATGTTACCTGTTCTCTCACACTTATCGTATAACCTGTAGAAAATGTGGCAGTCCTTGAACAGTGTAGGCCAGAAGAAACCACATTGAAGCACCTTTGCTACTATTTTAGTGGGGCCAAAGTGTCCTCCATACGCCGAGGCATGAACCCACGAAAGGATCGGTTTCATCTCATCCTCTGGCACACATCTCCTAATGATCTGGTCTACCCTTCTTCTATATAAATTTGGATCATCCCAGTAATAGAATTTCGCTTCATGAAGCAACTTCTTTTCTGCTGATAGATGAGATCAGGATCCATATAGCCACTAGCTAGGTAATTAACAATGTTTGCATACCACGGAGCCTTTTCTATTTGTAATAACTGTTCATCTGGGAAAACCTCATCAATATCCATGTCATCTGAATAACGAAGTTACTCTAGCCTTAATAAATAATTCGCTACCTGATTTTTTGTACCCTTTTTGTCGCGAATTTCAACGTCAAACTCTTGCAGTAACAAAACCCATCGAATCAGCCTAGGTTTAGAATCCTTCTTCTCAAACAAATATTTCAAGGCTGCATGGTTAGTGTAGACTATCACTTTTGAACCAATCAGATAGGAACGAAATTTATCGAACGCAAAGACCACTGCTAGCATCTCTTTATCCGTTGTTGCATAGTTAATATGAGCATCTGTCAAGGTTTTGCTTGCATAGTAGATTACATGTAATACTTTTCCTTTACGTTGGCCAAGCACCGCTCCCACTGCAAACTCACTAGCATCGCACATAAGTTCGAAAGGTAGATCCCAATCAGGTGCTACTATTACAGGTGCCGAAGTTACCTTTTCTTTCAAAGTGTTAAAGGCATTTAAGCACTCATTAGAAAAGTGATATGGCACATCCTTCTCTAGTAAATTACATAGAGGTTTTGTAATTTTTGAGAAATCTTGAATGAACCTTCTGTAAAACCCTGCATGTCATAAGAAGCTCCTGATCTCCTTAACTGGATTAGGAGGCTGCAATTTTTCAATCACTTGTATTTTGGCTTTGTCAACTTCAATGCCCTTTGAGGAAATTCTGTGGCCCAGCACTATCCTCTCTTTTACCATGAAATGACACTTTTCCCAATTTAGCACTAGGTTCTTCTCTTCACATCTTTGCAATACAAGAGCCAATCGATCCAAGCATTCATCAAATGAATCTCCAAACACAAAAAAATCATCCATGAATACCTTGATGTATTTTTCCACCATGTCAGAAAATATGGCCATCATGCACCTTTGAAAGGTTGCGGGTGCATTGCATAAACCAAAAGGCATCCTTCTAAACGTAACAGTTCTATAGGGACATGTAAAGGTTGTTTTCTCCTGGTCTTCTGGAGCAATAACTATTTGATTGTACCTAGAATATCCATCTAGAAAGCAGTAATGAGAATGACTGACCAACCTCTCCAACATCTGATCAATAAATGGCAATGGAAAATGATCCTTTCTGGTTGCATTGTTTAGCTTCCTGTAATCTATACATACTCTCCACCCTGTTACTAATCGTGTTGGTATCAGCTCGTTGTTTTCGATCTTCTCCACTATGATTCCACCCTTTTTTGGCACAACATGCACTGGACTCACCCATGAACTATCAGATATTGGATAAATAATACCTACATCCAACAATTTCAGCACTTTTTTTTGCACTACTTCTTCCAAGGTTGGATTTAATCTACGTTGTCCTTCCATTGATGGCTTTGACCCGTCCTCCATTAAAATCTTGTGCATACGAAGAGTTGGACTTATTCCTCTGATGTCAGCTATTGTCCATCCAATTGCAGTTTTGTGCAGCCTGAGTACCTCCAACAATTTATTCTCCTCTTCCATTGTCATGTCATTTGCAATGATTACTGGAAGTGTTGTAGATTTTCCTAAATATGCATAACGGAGATGTGAAGGCAAGGGCTTTAGTTCAAGAGTGGGTACCTTTTCTACCGAAGGTACTGAGGGTGAAGGGTTGTCACCAAGAGATTCATACTGCCAATGTCTTCTTCCTATTGGTTGCTTAGCCAAGTTGACAACACATTCAGTTTTTTCTGCACTTGCTGCTCCCGATTGTGTAATTTCTGCTTCACAAAGAACTGTTTGATGCTCTGTCTCAAATGTATTTGCCACCAACTCTTCAAGAACATCTACTTAGCAACAGGTATCTAAAGTTAGTGGATGTTTCATCGCCTTAAACATGTTGAATATGACTTGCTCGTTGTCCACCCGAAGAATCATCTTTCCATCATAAACATCAATCAGCGCTCTTCCGGTAGCCAAGAAAGGTCTTCCCAAGGTTAGAGGGATGTTTGAATCTTCATCCATGTCCAAAATGATGAAATCAACCGAAAAAATAAATTTATCAACTTTGACTAGCACATCTTCAATAATCCTTTTCGATCGTTTGATCGATCTGTTGGCCAATTGCAAAGCGATGGTTGTAGGTTTTGCTTCTCCTAATCCAAGAGACTTGTAAACAGGGAGGGGCATCAAATTAACACTGGCACCTAAATCACATAAAGAATGCTAAAAATAGTTAGATCCAATTGTGCAAGGTATCGTAAAACTCCCTGGGTCATTTAGTTTAGGAGGTAGCTTTTTCAAGAGAATTGCACTGCACTCCTCATTTAGGCAGACAGTCTCATGTTCTTCCAGCTTCCTTTTGTTAGATAGAATCTCTTTCAAAAATTTTGCATAACTGGGCATTTGGGCTACTGCATCTGCAAACGAAATATTGATGTGCAGTTTCTTGAAAATCTCCGCAAACTTTGCAAACTGCTTGTCCAACTTCTTTTTCTGTAACCTTTGAGGAAAGGAAATTGGTGGCACATAAGCTTTCATGGGGATGGGTGCTCTCGCTGTGGGTGTTTCTTTCCTTTTATCCTCCTCGTTAGTTGGTTGTTTGAACTCTATTTTTGTCCCAGCCTCTTCATCCATTTTTTGTTTGTCTTTTCTATCTGGTCTCTTCACATGTATCTCTGGAAGTTGCACTCCACTTCTAGTTGTACTAGCTTGCACTTGCTCTTTTGGATTGACCATTGTGCTGCCTGGTAATGTCCCTTATGGGCGTTCTGCAAGCTGTTGGACTATCTGACCAGTTTGAGTTTCCAGCTTCTTAATGGATACTTGCTGATTCTGAAAGTTAGTGTCAAACTATTGGAACACTTAGTCTGTCTTCTACATGTACTAGTTGAACATCTCCCCCAAACTTGGTTTTTTCTCTGGCTGGTTATTGTTTGAACTGCTCCCTTGCTGATTATCCGACATCTAAAGTTTGGGTGTCGCCTCCATCCTGGGTTAAATGTCTGTGAAAAAGGATTAAAATTTCGAGAGCCATTTTGATTGAAGTTGATTTGTTCCTCTGGAAAGCCTAAAGATGTGCAATTTTTCTGTTAGATGATTAGCTCAGCAGTTATCACATGATGGACCGGCTATCACTACATGTGCTCCTTTTGTTTGTGACTTCACCAATAACTCCACTTATTTTGTCAATGCTGCTATTTGGGCGTTGGTCGACGCTGAGCTGTCTACTTCATATATTCCCGCGGCTTTTGGAGGCACCACTCTTTCTAATGAAAACATGGAATGAGTAGTAGCAATCAACTCAAATAGATCCATATATTGTTGCACCAATTTTCCTATGATCGATCCGCCTATAGAGGAATCCACTAGAGATTTGGATAATGGTGAAAGTCTCGTGTAGAAATACTGCACTTGATTTCCAATAGTGATCCCATGATTTGGACACTTCCTCATCAACTCCTTAAATCTGTTCCATGCTTCATGATAGCTCTCCCCATCTCTCTGTTGAAAAGTTTGAATTTCCAGTCTGATTTTTGCTACCTTAGCTGGTGGAAAGAACTTATTGCAAAATTTCCTGGTCAGTTCTTCCCATGTGGTAATGCTTCTATCCAGTTCAGCATCTGGCCATTCCAATGCCGCATCTCTTAGTGTATATGGGAATAATCGCAACTTGATGGCATCCTCATTAACCCCGGGAGCATGACAATTCTGGCAATTTTGGAGAAACCTTGAGATATGCGTGTTTGGATTCTCATGAGGTAACCCGTAGAATTGCACAACGTTGCTCATCAAATTAATCCAATCAGCCCGTATCTGAAAGTTGTTTACCCCAAATTCTAGATATACTATGCGGGTACTGCTATAGGCGTCAAAAACATAGAAACTGGCAAGTCCCCTTCATTTACTTCTCTTTCCTCTTGCTATTGATTTCTCGCGGCCATTTGTCCAATTGGCTGTATAGGGATAGGTTTATTTAAATTGTCAACTATTTGATGTTGCTGTTTTTGTTTATGTTCCTTGCATCTTCGTCTGATGGTACGTTCTATTTCCGAATCAAACGGTTCAAGATCGTTGCCTTGGGCACGGAGCATAAAACGAACACTCTTTTCTTTTTCTTTTTTTTTTTTTTGTTGTAAACAAAAGAAAATAAATAAATATAATAAAAATTTAAAATAGAAAAAATAAATTAAGACTAAAAGTAATAGTCCCCAGCAACGGCGCCAAAAACTTGTTGTCGATTTTCTCCCACAAGTGGACGGATCGTAACAAGAGTAAAGTGGACCTTTTGAGTCCGGATTATCGTTTCCACGAGGACTATATTTTAGTACTTAATTTATTATTCCTAACTTCTATTTAATTAAAATAATTAAATAAATAGAAATTGAATGTGATTTTTTAAATCTAAATACTAGAAATTTCGTGAATGCAACAAAAAATTAGTGAGAATTCAATTAATAAATGAGAATTAGGGCAGAACAATTTCACCTATTGGTCTCCTTTATTTCCAACATCGAGATTCATAAACTAAAGTAGTGTTCGATCGAATTCTTCTATTGTATTTAACTTACCCCTCTCGAGTTCTCGTCGAGCCTATTTAATTAGTTCAATTTCATATCTCTATGCAAATTAAATTTAATTAAATGACATAATAGTTCTAAGAATTCCTATAGGACTGCAACAATTAATAGAGGTAGCTCTACACGTTATATTAATTTACTGAATTTTAATATGTAGTCTGAATAAGAATCTGTATCTCTACGTAATTATTGTTCACAAATCATCTAATTAGTGATCAAGTACTTAAATGTATTAAGAACAACATTAAAATTAACACATAAAATATAAAAGCACTAGAATCTTAATTAAACGAAATAAATGGTTCCAAATAAGTTACGTTGTTCGCCCTAAAAATAAATTTAGCTACTCATATTAATAAGAGAGAAGAAAAATAAATTCATGGAAGATATCACCGGGTTTTGATGGAACATGATTAGACTTTTGGCACATCAATCTCCATTTTGCTGTCGTCTTTTGTATCTCCGTTTGTGTGGTAATTAATTCCAGCAGTTTGCACTTAATTTTTCCTCCCAAGTCACAGCAATTGTTCTTGGTTTTCTGTGCGTATAATTGTCTACAATTGGCCCCCAAAGCTCTCAATTTCTCCAGCATGTGAAAATTAGCCGCCACTTTTCTTCCACAATTGAATTCCAATTCTCCTGCTCCGATTTTCGTGCGTCTATATAAAATTTGCGGCCCAATTTTCAAACTCTCCTCTGTCCGCCGCAGAAAATTCTCTCCCCAAAAAACTCTCCTCTCTCCCCCTAGTTGGTATGTATATATATATATTATATATATATAACCTAGGGCCAACTTTATTGACTAAATAAAAGACCAAATAAAAGACTCCCCCCAATTCTCCAATCCGTCTGCAGGACCTTTTTTTTTTCCATTATTGGTATGTATATATATATTATATATAAAAAAACTACAGCTACCAAATTTGACTAACAAAAGGACTCTAATTTTTTTTCCAACAAACTCCCCAACGTGAATTCATATATCTTCCCCTTTACAGCCACCATAATTGACTCTAATTCAAACCCTTTAATGTAATATTACCCATCAAGTCCTCAATCTTTTAAGTTAATGCAATGTAGTCCTTGTACTTGAATTTTTATACTTTTCGACCATTTTTGCCTCTTTCCTTCAATTTCTTTTGTTCATAAAATATACCTATCAAACGTAAAATACAAGAATTTAGGATATAATTTGTCGAAAAAACCCTTAAATATCATTATTTTAAGTATGAAATAAGTGTATAAAATACACTTATCTGTTTCAAATAGTTTTCCCGTCCAATTGACACTTGACAACTACGCAAGTGTCAAACAACGTGACAAAAATTAGTGTACAAATTGCAAAGTTCGATCGGTTAGAACCTTGCTACATGTACGCTATGGTGTACACTTTAATTTACACTTTGCCACATGATATTACCCTGTTGGACAGTTCAAATTTCAAACATTTTTCCCATCCAATTGACAATTGACTACAAAGCAAAAGTCAAACAACGTGTCCAAAATCAGTGTACAAATAGTACAGCTCAATCGGTAAGAATCTTGCTGCACGTACACTATGGTGTACACTTTACCACGTGACATTACCATGTTGGACAGTTTAAATTTCAAACAGTTTTCCCATCCAATTGATACTTAACAATAATACAAGTGTCAAACAGCGTGTCAAAAATCAGTGGACATATAGCAAAGATCAATCGGTACAAACCTTGTCACATGTATACTATGGTGTACAATTTAGTTTACACTTTGCCACATGACATTACCCTATTAGACAGTATAAATTTCAAGCAGTTTTCCCATCCAATTGACACTAGACAACAACGCAAGTGTCAAACAACGTGTCAAAAATTAGTGTACAAATAGCAAAGTTCAATCGGCAAGAACCTTGCAACATGTACATTATGGTGTACACTTTAGTCTACGCTTTGCCACGTGACATTACCCTATTGGACAGTTTATATTTCAAACAGTTTTTCCATCCAATTGACACTTAACAACAATGCAAGTGTTAAACAACCTACCAAAAATTGGTGTACAAATAGCAAAGTTTAATCGGTAAGGACCTTGTTACACGTACACTTTGGTGTACACTTCAGTTTACACTTTGTCACGTGACATTACCCTATTGGGCAGTTTAAATTTTAAATAGTTTTCCCTTCCAATTGACACTTGAGAACAATGCAAGTGTTAAACAATGTGTCAAAAATCAGAGCAAATTTGAATTAGTAAGAACTTTGCTACATGTACACTATGGTTTATACTTTAATTTACACTTTGCCACGTGACATTACCCTGTTGGATAGTTTTAGTTTCAAACAGTTTTCCCATCCAATTGCCACTTGACTACCAAGCAAGTTTCAGACAACGTGTCCAAAATCAGTGTACAAATAGCAAAGTTCAACACTAATAACCTTGATACATGTACACTATGGTGTACACTTTAGTTTGCACTATGCCCCGTGTCATTACCATGTTGGACAGTTAAGATTTCAAACAGTTTTCCTATCCAATTAACACTTAACAACTATGTAAGTATCAAACAACGTGACAAAAATTGGTGTGCAAATAGTAAAGTTCAATCGGTAAGAACCTTGCTATATTTACACTATGGTGTACACTTTAGTTTACACTTTGTCACATAACATTACCTTGTTGGACAGTATAAATTTCAAACATCTTTCCCATCCAATTGACACTTGACTACAAAGCAAGTGTCAAACAATGTGTCCAAAATCAGTATACAAATAGCAAAGTTCAATCGGTAAGAACCTTGCTACACGTACACTTTGGTGTACACTTTACTTTACACTTTGCCACGTGACATTACCCTGCTGGATAGTTTTAGTTTCAAACAATTTTTCCATCCAATTGGCACTTGACTGCAAAGCAAGTTTTAGACAACTAGTCCAAAATTAATGTACAAATAGCAAAGTTCAATAGTAATAACCTTGATACATGTACACTATGGTATACACTTTAGTTTGCACTATGCCCCGTGTCATTACCATGTTGGACAGTTAAGATTTCAAATAGTTTTCCTATCCAATTGACAGTTGACAACTATGCAAGTGTCAAACAACGTGACAAAAATTAGTGTGCAAATAGCAAAGTTCAATCAGTAAGAACCTTGCTACATTTACACTATGGTGTACACTT